AAATTGTTTTTATTTTGTTGTCTTGGTTTTATTTTATAGTTTCTGTAGCTGGGCCTTCTGTTCCTGATTGTTTCTTTTGCAGGGTTGCATCAGTTATTAGTCCTATTGTACCTTTGGTATGCCCTCGTCTCCATTCCCAGAAATTCATTAGTCCTCTTGTACCTTAAATGTACCCTATCTCAATTTCTAGACATTTAAATTGGCTTGGGTGTCTGTGTAACATCTGAACATATGAATGCAGTAATAATAACTGCCTTTAATACGCCATCTTCTAGTCCTAAAGTCTGTGTCTTTCCTGAGTAAATTTTGATTGATTGTTTCACTCATTCATGAGTCAATTGTTTCTTTGCATAAGTGGGTATTTTTTCTAACTATCAAATGTTTTTTTTTTAAAAGATTTATTTATTGTGCATACAGAACTGGGGTACAGGCCAGAGGCTCAGGGGCGGTGAGAGGCTTCACCAGAGACAGAGTGGGGAACAGAACAGGCAGATCGACGAAGTCCACTGCTGAGGAGAGCAGCGGGCGGTCAGGAGAGGTCTGCCACGCCATGTGGTCACCTCCAGGGCAGGCGGGAATCGAACTCATGCGGAAGCGGCTTTAGATTCTTAGTGCTGTGCTTTAACCCGCTGTGCCACCAGAGAGGGCCCTCAAATGTTTTTTATTAAGGCACATTTCACTTGTCATAAAATCCACCTTTTTAAAGTGTTATTTATAGTGGTCACTGTGTGTTCAAAAATTTGTACAGATGTTGTTGCTGTTTAAATATCAGAACATTTTTCTCTTCCTCAAAACAAGTCTCATCTCCTTAATCAGTAACTCCTCATACCCCTACAGTCCATTCCTGGCAAGGACACTGATCTATCTTCTATGTATTTACCTGTTTAGACATTTAACAAAAAAGTGTGTGACATTTGTGTCCAGCTTCTATCAGTTATATATTTGAACAATATGCCATTGTACAGAGTTTATACTGTATGTGTATGTTCATCAGTGGAAGGGAATTTAGGTTGTCTTCACTCAGGGGTAAAACTGAGTCTAGCAACATTACAAAAAGGCTTATATATCATGAACAAGTGGAATTTATCTCAGGAATGCAAGAGAAGCTCAATATTTGTAAATTAATCAATAAAATACACTGAAATTGATATAACCAAAATTAAATGATCATCTCAGTAGACGAAGAAAAGGCATTTCTCAAAATCCAACATCTTTCCTCAGAAGCCACACAGCAAAGTAGGAATACAAGGTCACTTTCCTTCACCTGATAAGGACATACATGAAAAGCCATAGGTCCCTCCCAATGTCCAGGAACTGACCTTGGGTTAGTTTCATTTTTGAGTGTAGCAGTCAGAGCTCACTTCCTTATTGAGGCTGCAGAATGGTAACTGCAGAAGGAGTGACACTGAGTTTGTGACTGTGCTAAGGGTGCAGGAGGTGAAGGAACCCAGGCCAAGGTTTGTCTGTGTGTGTTTGTGTGTGTGTGTGTGTGTGAGAAAGAGAGAGAGAGATGAGGGTGGCAGTGGGTGAGCCCCTGGAACTCGCTTTCTGGCTTCCTGGCCCTGGCTGCTTTCTCTTTCACAGGCTCCTGCCACATCTCAGAGAGTCTAGGATGTGAGGTGAGGGCAGGCCCTGTACCAGGGTGCCAAGGCAGGGGCCCTGCTCTTCAAGAGCATAGAACACCTGGGAGAGGAGCCTCTCCTTTGAGAGAAATAACCTCCCATGGAATAGAATGTCCAGAAGCAAATCCCTGTGGCTGGAGAAAGCTGTTCTAATTACTGGAGGTAAAGAGCTTAGTCATTAACTTCAGTTGAATCCCAGTTGACTCAGAGCACTGTTATTCAAAGAAAAGATCACTGTGTTTCCTGCCTTGCATGCTCTGGCCACCAGAGGCCAGCTTAAGAAGGGTGTGGCATAGGACTAGTTTCTAAAGCTGCTGCAGCAGTGCTGGGAGGGAGGACTTCTCTGCGTCTGGTCTCTTCCCCTGTCTCACTGACTAACCTTCTTAGGGAAGACAAGTTGTGGCCTGAAGAAGAAACAGTGGCCTTGGTGGGCCTCGAGGTTTCTACTTTCAGGCCAACCCTTTTTCTGCCCAAGCTCTTCCAAAGTAGCTCTGACTGCTACACTCAAAAATGAAACTAACTCAAGGTCAGTTCCTGGACATTGGGAGGGAACTTGTGATGTTGCCATGTTTCTCACTCATCTGGCCCCCCCAAGGGAGGGGCGAGAATAAGAATAATGCCCTTGATTATTACTCAGTAGAAAAAAGGGATAGAGTGACATCTGAGAGGATGACAGCACACACTGATTCTTCCCACTGGCTTGTTGGTTTCTGTTATCGTCCTGGTAGGACCTCCATGAGAGTTTATTAGCTGGTGCATTTTTCTCTTTGGGTGTGGGGATGGTTATAGAGAAAACTGGGGGCTTGCGGATGAGTAGAGTCCAATGTTATAGTTTCTAGAATCCCTCACGGATCACCCACTTCCTAAGTGTTACTACCTCAGACAGAGTAATGTGGGCGCTAATTATTCTCAATCCTCATTAGCCATGGAAAGAATGTCACTGGCCCTCACTGAGTTCTCTCTCACTTGCTACAACTTTGTGAGTTAAACCTGTCTTGCTTCTTTGTCTCTTTTAATACTTGGTTCAAAAAGACTTTCAGTGATGCAATATTCTATAAGGAGGGTACCAGTTAGCCCCAGGTATAAATAGATATTAAACAATTGAAACTGCTTAAGGACTGAGAAACTCAGTACTACTTTTCTTTTTTTAAAGAAGTTAATTTAAAAATTTTTTTATTTTAAGATTTATTTCTGCATACAGAACAGGGGTACAAGCCAGAGGTGCAGGGGCAGTGAGAGGACTCATCAGAGACAGAGCGGGGAGCAAAACAGGCAGATGGTGAAGTACACTGCTGAGGGAAGCAGCAGGCAGGTCAGGAGAGGTCTGCTGTGCCATGTGGGTCACCTCTGGGGCCAGGGATCAAACTGGCACTGAAGCGGCTGCCCTAAGCTGGCAGTGCTGCATCCTTACTTGTTGCGCCACCAGGGAGGGCCCACTCAGTACTACTTTTTTTTTTTTAAAGATTTATTTGTGCATAAAGAACTGGGGTACAGGCCAGAGGCTCAGGGG